TGATGATGATGATGATGATGATGATGATGATGATGATGATGATGATGCTGATGCCTGATATGGTTCCGAAAGGAGGTGCCATCACAACCCGACAGGCAATCTACAACCTAGAGGTCCCTGGGTCCTTTTGGGGTAACCATATATTTGCAGGTCATTCCTCTAACGGGCCATGTTTGAGGGTCTTTAGTGGTTCCTCTTCACAACACTCATATTCTTGTCAACGCAAACCACTGATATAGATTTATATTTACTTCTGTGTGTGTATGGCAAAGAACCAACTGCTTCCTGGCACACGCATATATATATATTACATAAGATCAAGACTCATTGACTGATCGATTTGGGATCCTCAGGACGTATACCAAACCTTCCTCTTGGGCAGAAGTGTCATGAAATGTTTACCAGTTCTGGGCCTATTCTGAGTAAAGTTGCCATTGTCCGTTTAGTGTCCTTTTGGTGCGAAATGCTCAGTTCAATGAGGATCCAGCCTTCCCGGAACTCCAATAATTAGGCAACTGGTGGGCTTGACGTTGTTTTATAATGATTTCATGCTTAACTTTTGTGCGTCAACAGAGCTGCAATGCTAGTTTTGGAGTTATCTAGTGTGCTTTTTATGGGGGTTAGGAAGGTTCTCAGCACTGTAGTCCCCTAGTGCCTCTGAGGGTGGCAAGAGGCCACCCTCGACAGCTTGGCTTGGCTTGAAGAAACTGATGTTGGGGGAGGGCGCAGCGGCGCAGCGCCCCAGACCAAAGCAAACCAAGCGCCAAACCACCAAAAAGCTACAAACTGCCAACACAAAACATGCTATCAACACCTAGACCTAACCAGCACAATCCAACACAAAGTCCACAAAAACCAAAAGCCAGCCATCAAAAACCAACCCCCAGCCAAACGTCAGCCCAAAGTCACACACACACACAAACAAAACACCAAAGGCCAAAAACCACCAAATGTCAAATTTGCCAAAAAGCTACCAAAAACCAAAAGAAGCTATCAAACCTAGCCATCGAAATCCAAGAGAACCACCACTAAGCAACCGCCAAAAAAGTTCAACCGACACGCCTCCAAAAGCCAGAAGCCACAGAAGCCACCAAGCACCCAAAACCACACAAACAAATAGCCAAAAAACACAGAAACCACCGAAGCCAAGCCACAGAAACATACAGAAACCACCAATAGGCGTGCTCAGGCGATCCTACCCGAAAAAAGGCATTCTGCACCAGCAAACGCACATGGTCACACCGGCTGCATCCAATATCCGAAGAAACATGTTCGGGCCTGAGCATTCAAGTCAACCATGTCTGCGGTGTTTGATGTTTCTTGGTTTGGAAGCAACAAACGGCGCCCAAAGCCGGAAGCAAGGCGTCTCTTGTGTGATCTCTATGTGGTCTAGACTAATGGGGCTGCATCATCCTGGGGCACAAACACCAAACACGCAATTAGAGTCTGGTCCCGGTCTACCACTTGATACCCTTTACATCAACAGCTCATAAGCGGGGAAGCAATTCAGCTCAAACGGCTTAAACCAATTCTTTGAGGTCCAAAAATGGTGGAGTGGTACTTGGAAGTTCTTTGGCCAACACGCAAAACACACCCTCCCTCTTTATTTACATCGTTTTTAAGTATCGAAATGCACCAGTTTCCAGACCACTGTTGGCAAAACTGGGGCACTACCGTCCATTTCAAACGCCTCCCTGGGTTGCCCAAGCGCAATGGTCGTGCCCAAAATATTCGAGGTCACGAGCATCGTCGAGGCATCTTGGAACCTCGAGTGCGGGCACGTCTAGGCCCTGCAGAACTGAGAACCCCCACATGGAGGAACGTGGAGGAACATGACCTTGAAATGCAGGGTACCATGTTCTAGAAAACCGTCGACTTCGCCACGAGACGGCCGGGCCAGTCTTGAGATCGAGTAGGTTAGGTTTTCATCGAGGCGATGCAACTGGGGATGCTAGTGGGACCTATTGGGTGTTCAATTGTTGGGAAGCAGCCCCACCCCTTCAAAACGTGTCAAAAACTATTATAGAGCTCCTGGCTCGATCTTTTTTGTTCGGATGTGGAGGGCCTTGGAGTCGAGGTCTTCTGGGCTGACATGACAGGGTCAGTCAGCTTGAGTCTGATCAGCACCACTCTTCACATCAACGTGGCCGAGGACTGGAAACGACACGAAGACCAAAGGCACAGGGACGACCGGTAGATTTAGAGCAGGACCAGGACAGCTGCACCGCAAAACTAAGTTTGACATTGCAATGTCTTGCTTGAATTCCTCTAAGTCCGGCCCAGCGGGATTCAATGATTCAAGACTCCCGGAGTTGAGTTGCCGACCCGCTGATCCTAGGGACATGGACCGAACGAACCAACAGGCGGCCCTGAAAGATTGTGACACCATGTGACGATTGTCAATTGTTTTGTGGGGTCTGGGCACTGGTTATATTCCAGTAGGGGCGGGGAAGGCTCCAAGAAAGTTCAAAGGCTGCCATGATACCCTAAGTTCCGAATCCAAACTCCCCCAAAAACATCTCAGAACCGCCTTTTTTCGAGCCCTTTGGCAGAGTCGGGCACACAACACAGTCGCTGAACATTCCTCCAGGTCGTTTTTGCTCCCAGGATCTCTGCAATCTCACTGACCGTGATCGGTTTAGAAGCCCACGATCAGCCCTATAGGTCTTGGGTCCACCTGCACAGGACCAAAATAGACCGGGCGGGATTTTCTCACCTTGGCCATCTGTGTCATTGATCTGGGTTACAAGTTACACTGGTGATAACATGGTCATCGGTCGATGGTGAGAAATGGTCCTTGTATGTCCTTGTTCTGGTGATTTCTTGAGAGCTCTGTTTGTGACACAGGGCGCAGACGAGCTGCGTGGCCGTCTCTGAAAGACTTAGGTGAGATTGAATGGGGAACCTACGATATAACTATTTGGAAGCCTGGCATGGAACTTCCCTTGCCGGCGACAGCGCAGCTGGGTGGGCCACCCGAGATAGTGTGACACCACTCGCCGGTCTTCGTCTGACAACGACGGCCGGTTCTTCAACCAACCTCGTGCATGGCCTCATGCGAGTTTCACTCTGCAGGCGCCGAAAATGTTTCGCAAAAGGTGCCCCGAAAGAGGGGGCGTCGCAAGCCCTTCAAACCAAGGGCCTGAGACTGAAGAGTCAGTGTCAGTCAACAAGAGATCGGGTAAAATATGGTAGACCTGCGACCTACTCTTGCCCGGTGAGGCTGTAGGGCGGGGAAGCCACCTTCACAACCGTGCCCGAGGCCATCATACCCCGGACGAAGCCGCTAAGATGGGCTCTCCGCTTCTGCGCGTGGTCCGTCTCGGAGATGCCTCGAGTGGCGCAGGGTACACATCGAGCCCCACCACAGCGCAGTGTACAGCAGCTTGGAGTGGGTGTGACACAATCTCCCTGCCCAGGCGGCTAGCCACTATCCCAAATGTAGCCCACGTTTTGCGGTAAGAAACATTTGAGACTCAAACATCTTGTGTAGTAAACGTGCCGACCAACCAGTGAGAAACAATGCCGAACAAAACGCTAATTCATTACATGAGGGAAACATATTATATATGATAATGATATATATTAACATTGCAGTGGAATCAGAATACAATTGCACCAAACTACTTGCAGTACTCAGGGATTCAGGGCTGGTTGTGGACCTATGTCTCGCTTTCCACCTTCTGATCCGGAAACGCAGGTTTTGACATGCCTGCTGCGTTCAACAGGGTCCTGAAGTGAAGTTGAAGTACAACGTGCTTCTGAGCCAACGAAAGTGAACAAAAAATACTGATGTGCACCAACAATGCGACGCCCAAACAGGGTCTCCAACACAGGTCAAGCGGCAAGCGCGCTTGCGCACGGGACCTGCAACTACAGCATGTGTTTTGTTCCCTGGCACCAACCATATCTTCAGAAGGTGGTTAGACCCCCCTGGCACCCACCCCAAGCATCTTCTCAGGAGGTAGTTGGAGCCCTAGGCTTTCTCATTCCTTCAGTTCCCACCCTTAGTCGAAGTCTATGTTGTTTCAGGTGATTACCTTTTGACTAGTACTGATCAACATGCTCCAACAGTGACACCGTTTAACCATTGTAATGACTCATGACTCATGACTATACGAACAAACCGGGATGAAGAACACCAGGGGCCAGGGGCGAGAATGGACAATTTCCAGCCACTGCAGGTGTAGAGTGGATCAAGACACCACGCTTGGAGTCCCAATCTTCAGCAATCAGCAAACGGCTTCGGGCCTATTGGGGTTGCCGAAGTCATGACTATAGCCCCAGCAGGAGTTGTTTGTGGTGCCAGCAGAGAAAAACAACACATTTATTGGGACGGGCAGCCCACGGACTGAAGGTGACCCCCTGCTGCCGAGAGCACACATTGCAAATCTTTTCTCTTTTCTTTGCCGTGAGGTGACAACAGAATGTGCATGTGTCTGACTTTCGGGTCATTTGACCAAGTCAAGTTCACCACGTGCGCGGCCCTGGCCCTACCAGACCCTATCCTGGGATTGAAATCATTTTGTTGGTGACCTTGCGTGACCTGCAATCAGTCAGCATGACACGGCGAACCCGACCCCCAACACCCCAAACTCGGTCCAGGTGCTCTCAGCAATGGTCTTGCACGAGTCGCTCTGGCACAACACGTGTGGACGACCGTCCTCAGCTGCCTCACAGTCATGACACTGTCAGGGCTTCCCCAAAACTGCTTGTTTAAAGAGGCATCTTAAAACCATCTTCTTGCACTTGTGGGACATCTTGTCGGCCAGTCTTGTGACTCTGTCCCGGGACACTCTTGTGAGACACTCTTGTAGGACACTTTTGTGGGGCACTCTTGTGGGACATTCTTGTAGAACACTCTTCTATAGGACACTCTGGGCGGGACACTTTTGTCGGACAGTCCTGTGGCCGCGGACATGCCAATCCCAATGGCACAGTGCACCAAACGTCACAACCTCACGACTCCTAGCACCTGCCAGGCAAACTACTTCCCAGCACCTCCAGCACGCCAAAAGCATCATTCCTCCCAAATCCTCCAGCCTCACTCACTGCTAGTCGGTCCATTCTACAATCACGGCCCCGAGTTACAAAGGACCTTGTGTTGTTTACTAGTTCATCATATTTTGAGAACGTAAACACAGCATTGAGAACACACTTCGAAACATAGCGACCCACCCGCATCACATCTGGAACTGGAAGATGTTTCTAACTAGTTTTGCCACTGCGACACGGACAATGGATTGAAGGCATGGATTGAAGGATTCTTCATCAAGGCATGAACAAGGGGTTGCTACTCCAGTAGCTTTCATATTTCTGATGCTTTCAGTGGGTGGTCCAGGGCTGTGTTGCTCGGGTGATGCCCGGACCCATCGACCCTTCAACCTGGGCGAGAAGGGCTGACCCAAGGCCAGCGCCCCGAACGTAGCATCCGACCGCTCCGTTCGTAGCTATGCCCGGGTTCCGATGCCAGCCATGCCAGGAGCGCCACTAGTAGCATTCTTGTTCCTACCTATTGTCTGCATGAGCAAAGCCACAAACAAAAGAAACCGCACCTTCGGTGGAGATCACTTACACCATTCCTACATATCCAACGGGTCACACGTGTAGGCAGTGTAGGTGGCTCCCAGTTCCCAAATAGGTTTCCAATACATTTTTAGGGGGAGCTGAGCTACCTTTCTATTTGGGTGTCTCTCTCTCTATATACATATATATGTATGCAAGATATATATATATTATATATATAAGGTGGATTGATTAATTAAAACAAAGACCATGCATCCTTTGCATTCTCCAACGATCGATGCTCACGCCCCGCCTTCCTCCCTGATCGATTCTTGCTTGCGGTGGTCATTGCGCAGAGACAATGGCACTGATGGCGCCGCTGATGCGCGTGTGGGCTCAAGAGATGATGGCAGTTTGAACCAAATCTGCAGTGAGGTTGGCCCGGCCCCGTGGTTGGCCACCACTTTGTGAACAAGCCTAATGATCCTAATGGACACTCATTGCGGTCCCGCACCAAAATCACAAGCCTCCCTTGCTGAGTTTTTGCAGCTGAATCTGCCCATTTGATCAGGGAATCCATCGGAACAAATGCACCCAGTGTCCATAACTTGGTTTGTGAAGCACCTTTGTGAAGCACTTGGTTGTGCTCCTGACCTTGCTTTGCATGTTGAAATGCCTGATGTCATTTACATCTAGGATAGTTTGTCATCTCATTATTTCTGGTCCGAACGTCAGGGTTACCTTCCTCATGGCTGGTTGCGCTGGTTGGGCAGGTAACGCTGTTTGCGCTGGTTATGCGGGTTACGCTGGTGCTCGGTGTAATTGGCGTATCTAACTGGCGTCATCGGTGTGACCGGCGGTGTAATTGGGGTACAGCAAAATTGTGGACGCCGATTGCACCAGCAACATGCAAACGTACAGGAATGTACAATACTACATTACACTACACTACAGTTACATCAAAATTGCCACACAAACATGCATACATTTAATGATTAAACTTGCAATTACGTTGCATGACGTTTCAAACATGAATGAAGTATATTCATTCATACACACCATACCACTACATAATTAATACATAACAGGATAACATACATAGCATACATCACATATCATCGCATGCATGCATGCATGCATGCATACATACATGCATGCATACATACATACATACATACATACATACATACAGCACACTACATTACAGTACACTACATTACATTACATTAACACATGTACACGCATACAATTCCATGCCGTTCCTTTCCATTATTATATTTTACATTGCATACATACATTGCAATACATTACATTACACTACACTGACATTATGCACATACATACCATACCATACAATACCATACAATACATGCAAGCATCCATGCATCCAACATTTCATTAATTTCCTGTCCTGAACCCATTTGAAAACGCATACCCCTTGAGCCACTCAGGAAATCGCATACCCCTTTGAACCGGTTCACTCGTCACCGGGTCCCCCTACACGAGATCCAACTGCCGATGGAGTTCTGTGGAGCTCAACGCCTCAAGCCGGCGAGTTTTCTACGCAACGCTGCGCGGCGCGTAGGGAGTTCGTGGGGCTAAAGACATGGGCAAACGACGCGTCAATTAACATCAATGACATGACTTTCCTACAAATGAGCATGTTTTGGTTCCTGACTTTGACTGATTCATGACTGTCCTAGGTCAATTCAACATGACTTTCCTCCAAATGTTCTGAGCATGGATCAGTGAACAGCCTCCTTGTCAAACAAAATGTGTTTGTTCATTCATGTTGTTTTTTCCACTTCATGCTGGCACCATAAGCCCTTGTTTAGTCTGTGCTCGCAGTCGGGAAGTTCGAAGAATTTACGTGACTTCGTAACCTTGACATACGCACTTCCCAACAAAAGAGTCTGGGGCAGTTTGTGGAAGTAATGAACATGTATTCTGGGTTTGCTTCTATCTTCACTTCTATCTTTTGGGGGGTCAATACCTACAATCTACAACATCTACAATGTACGAAGCGATCCTACATCTCGGTGCAGTGTCAAATGAACCGGAAATACTGTAACCCTATAGTACAGTACAGTGCAGGATTTACCACAAACATTTTTGTTATAAACTCAGAAGATCAAAGTTACACACGCCAGCGTTGTCCTCGGCCATTCTAGCTCTGCACCAAAATCGTCCACATCGGTTGAGACATGTTGAGACCTGCTCCACCTCCAGTCCCGGCGACCTCCGAGCGGCACCTGGTAAGAGAGGAAGGTGCCACAGCCGCCAATGATGGACACCCCGACCACGCGCATCGTCTGGGGCGGTCGGCCACGAGATTCAAAACATCTGAACGGTGGAAACGGTGGGCGCCCTCCGAATGAAGGGATCGTGGGGTCGGCTCTAATTTGCCCAGGACTTCTTTGGACGAAAGGCAAATCCAAATCGATGAAACGTCTGAAATCCTCTAATTTGCCTGACTCCCTCAGCTTCGCTGGAAGGCTCACCAAATGTCGTTCTGGTTGAGTGGGGAAACCAAGCCCCCAAAATGGTTGGGCAGGTGATTCACGTAACCTCCCTGAAACAATCATGGAAGTGGAATACAGCCTGTTCGTAGAGGACAACATTCCAAGGGGCCATGTTCCACTTCCATGTTTGTCGGGTTATTCTGTGGTCACGTGAACGCTGGATCACAAGCCCGGTTGGGGCCCCGAACAATGGCAGAAGCCTTGATCGCAGCGTACGTCAAGGGGTTCGAAGCAGCCTGGCGATGCATTCGCCGCACACATCTGCACACATCACTGATTCAGCACTTTATCAAGTTGGACTATCTGCTGGGGTGGCCATTCAATGGAAACCCACGGCTAGTCTGTAGTAGTGGCCATGATCACAGAAGGCGTCGCAATAAAGGTGCCCCAAGTCATGCATGAACACTCCGGTCGTTGTGCCGTGGGCGTGATGCAGAGCCCCAACTGTAACTACTTGTCCCCAGCCCTACAGTGCCCTACAGTGCCTACAGTGTTTTCTTTGTTGCCAAGTTAGTGATACACTCAAACGAACACATCACAGCGAAGTGGAAATTGCTGCCTTGAGATGTAGGAATGTATAAAGAATAGTCGCACATAAGCACACCAAGCAGTGGTTTCAACTCACTTGAAAGCTACTACTAGTCTGTTGGTTCAATAATCTCAAGTGAAGAGATGAACATAACAAATATCTGCCACCCAGGAGTTTCTCCAAGTCTCTACAGTATCTCTATGGTAGAGTATTTGTTTGGCGTGGGCACCGGCGTGTGTCTCGAAGGCATTCTATTGAACCATGTTGCGCACGCGCGACGCAGGCGGCTCGATCACTTAAAGGGTGAAGCGAAGCTACCAGTACCAGCTATAGCTACCATACAGGCGATGGAGTTGGCATTTCGCATCAGGAGCAGTGAACAAACACCGAAGAAACGCACTAGGAGGTGAGCTGAGCTATGCTGAGCTAAGTTGAGCTGGCAGAAAAGGGGTTCGGCAATGTGATGAGGACAAACAAGATCAAGTTGATGAGACAATTCGGCGTAGTCAGAGGCTAGTCAGGAGGCAACATGTTCAAGTTAAATGAGGCAATCGACTAACTAAGTGGTACCATGATGGAAGCGGTTGATGCATTTTCGGTGCGACGATGCTGACGATGCTGAGCCATGTGTGACTTCCGTGCGGGTCAGGAGTCCCGTTCCACCTAAGAGGTGGAACTGCTGCGTCTTCCAACTCTGGAGGGTCCAAGGCGACTGGAACAAAGGATTCTGATGGACTACGGCCATCAAAACATATCAAAACCAATGCGTTTTCTCACTCCGAACGTCTTGAAAAAAGGAGTGAGAAAGGCCCGAACGGCCCTGTGAACCCGAACGAACGGCCCGCGAGCGGCTTCGTCCCCGGCCACTCTGACCACATTGTCCGCTGCTTCAATGTAGCCACAGGAGTGCAAGGCCACATCGGTGTAAACCAGGTCATTGACCATGCTCAAGACCTCGAAGTCTGAGAGCTGAGAGTGTTGAAACACTTTGGCGTCTGACTCTTGGATTGTCTGGCGCCACTCTTGCACAAAAATGGTCAAATATGTGTTTTTGTTTGGTGTGTGTTGCTTATGCTTAAGTGTCTGTCTTTGGGGTGTTTGGGTTAAAGGAAGTGCCTAAGGAACCTTTCGCCCGCCAAACATTAGATTGACGACCCAAGGCCTTGTCACCGTCTCCTTGCATTGTACAATAGTTCTGGACTCACACTTTACCTGGTGAACGATGTTCGGACGGGGTTCGAACTGCCAGTTGCATGATGCATCAACCAGGTGATGAGAAGGTGGTCCAACGTCTCTCCTCAGTTTCACAAGAAAAATATAGAATTATGCTTAAAAACACTTAAAGGTTAACACTTGTCCACCTAATCGCTTTGAGTGGGGTGTCCCCAATGCCCCGTACTTCCAGGTTTTGCAGGTTATCCACGTACTTCCTGTGCGTCATTAGGCCGTCCGAACGAGAGCTTCGGCACTTGATCTGTCGCGCCGATGTGGCACGAGTCTCAGGCGACGGCTCGCTCGATGCACATCACCGTGCACAAGCAGCAGCAACCTTGAGGTGACGTGCACAGCAAGATTTGGCCGCAACCCCCGGGTCTCTAATGTAGACTCTTAACTAATAACCCCCCATAGGATTGTCCAATTCAAATCGGGGGGTTAAATCAAGAGTCTACATTATGGGGTCCTGTGAAAGATCTCCTGGCATCATACATTGACCCGCAATTGGTAGCGTCTCCAAGCAAAGTCTAGCAACCATGGCCCCTCGTGGTGCAACAGGGATGGCATGGCTTCAAAGTTTCATGCCCGATGTGTGTTGTTGAAAAGCAATTGACGTATGAACCAACATGGGGAGAGCTGAGAAACGGGATGTGTTTAAGAGCATCTTCCATAGCCCCTTCGAGCAGCAGTGAGGAAGCATGTGCTTCAAACTCATCTCATCAACCTTTGATTGAAGCAAGTTGTAAAAGCCTTGCGTGGAGTCCTTGGGACTCCACGCAGACACGTCCGCTTCAAGCATGGCTTCACCAAATCAATCTCCGTAGGACTTGTGCACCGAAATCGGTCTCCCGGCTCCCGGCTCCGGCTGCCAAGGTGCATAGGACTTGTGCCACAGCTCCTTGTATGCCCTCCCTGGATCCGCTTGCTTCGCGCTTCGGCACGTCGCAGGTAGAGAGCGCGAGGTTTTGGCTGGGGTGGGTTGGGATGGCATTCGGGGCACGGGGAGTCGCTTAGTCCCTGAAGAGGCCACTTACAGACTCCAAAGAGGTCACTTTGAAGGTCCTGGCAGGTCATTTAACAAAAAAACTACTCAATGAGGTAAGGACAAGCCTTTACTGGGTCAAACAAAAACCTGCAGGGATATTGGATATTATAATATAAGGACTTGTTATAATGACAATTAGTTGATTCATCATTAACCTCCCCACGACGTAGAAGCATCTTGCTGTGGCTGGGTGGGGTCATGCCGGCGTCTGTCCATGATATTACCTTCCATTCCTCTGGGTTCTCCCCCCCAAACCCCACGACCTCCCGGCTTCCGCGACCTCACGGCACCTGCAGGTCCGGCCCGTCAAACCGCTCAGCTTCCCACGTGTTTCGCGTCTGGCTCAGGATGAAGGACAAAAACGCCTCCGCTCGGTACACGTCGGGTGAAGCAGTAGTTGCTATAAACCCTCTTATAGTAACAAAAAACTACTAGTAACAAAGGGTACTTCTACTAGTAGTAAGGCCGCTACTAGTAGCTCCTAGCATTGCTACTAGTAGCTAGAAGCGACTAGTAATAAGAATCTTACGAACACTGAGCAAACAAAACAGTGGCGCCTGGGACCTGGGTCCCAGGTTGTGCTAAAGCATTCTGTATAACTCGAAGAGTTGACCTCCGGGTGCCTACAGAAGAGTTGACGTCACACAGGCGGCGGACACAGTGGACACACTCTACAAGGGCGGATACACCTGGTAAGAGATCCACATGGAACCTGAAATGGACAAATGGACCTTTGGAAGACTATTTTCCTGTACAACCCAGTGGTTTTCAGGTTCCATGTAAAATTTCCAGTGTGTAGAGATCTGGTCAGGAAGTGATCTACAAGCGCCCGAAGCTGTGCATGATACATTCTGCAGAGATGCAAGGTTTTGCAAGTCAGCTGGAGTTTCAGCTGGAGTTCAAACTGGCAAATGGAAGAATCACGACCCATCTTGCCCCCTGCACAAGTTTCTCTAAAAAACGCAAAGTTTGCTACAAAATGCATGGTGGCGTGTTCAAAACCCATCTATCTACAGTATTACAGTTGTCTACAGAATCGCAAGCCTGCAAATCAGCATTTTGTGGGTTCACGCAGATTTCTTCCCCTCTACGAAATGCCAAGCCTCAAACTGCAGGGTCAGTTTTCAAATTAGAAACTGCCTTATTTCAGTACGTCCCGTCCTGCGGAAGATACCAAATGATGCAAATTCACTCAATCAGTGGGCCTCTCACCGCTATTTTGCTGCACACGACACGGCAAAGCCTCCACTTACCTACGCTTATGCACGAAGAATTTGCTGAAGAGGCCACGTGCGCAGCATAGGAGGACTACACTTCCAAAATATTACTTTACTTCGAGTGATCCCCACCATTACATTTCAATCATTTGTCTTGATGCCATAGTGAGGAGCATGTTGCCATGGTCGTGAGTATTGTAGTTATCGATTTTGCTTGTGGGTCCTCAGGTTGTGTGCTGTGGTTGTGTGTTGTGGTTGTGGTTGTGTGCTGTGTTGTGGTTGTGGTTGTGTTTGTGATTGTGTGTTTGTGGCTGTGTGTTTGTGGATGTGTGCTGTGTTATGGTTGTGGTTGTGTTTGTGATTGTGTGTGATTGTGTGTTTGTGGCTGTGTGTTTGTGATGTGTGTTTGTGGCTGTGTGTTTGTGATTGTGTGTTTGTGACTGTGTGTGTGATTGTGTGTTTGTGGCTGTGTGTTTGTGATTGTGTTTGTGGTACTGGTAGTGGCTGTGATTGTGTTTGTGGTACTGGTAGTGGCTGTGATTGTGTGTTTGTAGTTGTGGTTGTGGTTGTGGTTGTGTCTTTGTGATTGTGTGGTTGTGGTTGTGGTTGTGTCTTTGTGATTGTGTGTTTGTAGTTGTGGTTGTGGTTGTGTCTTTTTCTTCTGTGTGTTTGTGGATGTGTTTGTGGTTGTGTTTGTGGATGTGTGTTTGTGGTTGTGTGTTTGTGGTTGTGCTTTGTTGTTGTGTGTTTGTTGTTTTTGTGGTTGTGTGTTTGTGGTTGTGTTTGTGGTTGTGTGTTTGTGGTTGTGTGCTGTGTTTGTGGTTGTGTGTTTGTTGTTGTGTTTGTGGTTGTGTGTTTGTGCTTGTGTGTTTGTGGTTGTGTGTTTGTGGTTGTGTTTGTGATTGTGTGTTTGTTGTTCTGTTTGTAATTGTGTGTTGAGGTCCGGCGGGGAACACTGGGCGCGGATGGTCGTGGTTGAGGTTGGGAACAGTGGGCGTGGATGATCGTGGTTGAGGTCCGGCGGAGGAGGAGAAGGAGCAGGAGGAGAAGGAGAAGAAGGAGGAGGAGGAGATGGGGCTGACATAAAATCTAATAACTCTCACCTGACAGGTGGGGAAAAAGATCATCGATAGATATCGATAGGAACAATAAATCAAGGAGAACCTGGCTTGGAAGGTTTTTCTTCAGCCACCAAAAAGCAATCAAATTCAAAAAACAAAGGGATGGAATGTAAAAGCTCCTGGCTAGTTCTATTGATGTGGGTGTGTACGTGTATCAAATGTATTGACTGGAAGAAGGGACATAGACCAACACCAATTGGTTGGGGGTCTACTGGGATCTACCTATTAAATTACAATGGTGTCATATGGTGTCGTAGACCGCTCAAACACCTAGATGTTTTCTTTTATGAGAGTCCATGTGTATAAACCACATTAAACATCATTAAACCACCAACCTTGGGGATGGCCGGGTTTGTGCCATCTACTCTGAAACCACACACCTCTGATCCCATCGACGCCGAGATCGAGCCGAGATCTCGGGCGGATTGACTCGACTCGTCCGAGCCCCGGCCGCGACCAACTTCAAACAGCCAATGATAAAGCCGCCCAAAGCAATCGTGCCTGGGCACCGGAATCGTCAACCAAGTTCCACAGCTTGCCGTGGTATGAGGTCCGACCGTTGACAAGTGTCGGTCCGAGAAAATAGGGCCCTCGATGGCACTCTAAGAACACAGTTTGTTCGCAAGAGGAAAATTTTGAGCTTTCGTCTTCTATCGTTCTTACACCCACTGCAGTCAACATGTAGCTACAAACCTGTGCCTGCCCAGGGCACAGTGCCAAAGCCTTCCCATCAGGCTGAGATCCCCACCTAAGTGAAAGCAAAGCCCCATCAGGTAGCCCTTCAGCATGGGAAATGACCTGGTCGCTTCTTGTTCGAGGATCCAGGACCCGCGAGTTCCTTGCTGAGCGCTCATGTCAGACCCACAGCCACTAGGAGTGTCGAAAAAGAGTGCGAATATATTTCTGGATTTTTTTCGTTTTTTTTGTTGTTTTTTTTGTTTTTCGTGTTTCGTGGCAGGTGCAGTACTTTGTGGACCTTGCAAAGCACATTTCGTGGCAGGTGCAGGACTTTGTGGGCCTTGGAGTGCAGAGTTTGTGGCAGGCGCAGGACTTTTTGTGGGCCTTGAAGTGCAGATTTCGTGGCAGGTGTAGTACTTTGTGGCCCTTGGAGTGCAGATTTTGTGGCAGGCGCAGGACTTTGTGGCCCTTGGAGTGCAGATTTTGTGGCAGGCGCAGGACTTTGTGGACCTTGAAGTGC